GTTCTCACTTGGAGCCGCCCTGTGAATGAACTCAGCCACAAACAGCATCATTGAAGACCCTGCCAGCCAGTACTCATGTCCCCAGGCCTCGGGAGGTGACATCCTCCCATCTTCCTAGATCTCTCTGTAGTATTTGACTCTATGGGCTCAACTTCCATGAAGCTTGAGGAGTAAGAGGAGTAGGGGGCACGGGGACGTGCTCCTCTTCCTGGGCCTGGCAGCTAGGCTGGGGTGAAGGCTTGGATCCCACTTCCCAGGCTGGAGCAGCCGCCAGCCACCCGCCACCCGCCCCAGGACTCTTCTCTACTCCCCTGCCTGCCACCTGTGCCTCCCTCCTGCAACTTGGCAGGGCGGAATCAGTCATTGGAATTGTACAGGGCAGTCTCCAGCCTATCCGTCTTAGCTCCCTTGGGTACCGATGAGGAAACTGAGGCCCAGGGACGATAACTGATTTGTCCCTGATCTTCCAGTAAGTTTGCATGAAAGCCAAACTTTCATGGGTTTTTGGGGTTTTTTTCTCCTAGTTGAGTTTTATCTCTGCCTTCCCCACTGCTTCAAAACCCTTCCCTCCGAACTTACCGCACAGTGACCCGATGCAGAGAAAGTAACATTGGTTAAGGGTTAGTAGATTGGCATAGTTAGATGTGTGAAGTTTCTTAACCTCTCTCTTTTCCATTGAACGGAAAAACAATTAGATTTAGGAAGAACAGAATACAATATCCTGTGGGTGGTTGCAGAGTCGTTTTGGCTGAAGTTAAAAAAACAAAGAAAAAACAAAGAATAGCCCTCAAAATGGGTCAGAGGACAGATAAATGTTAGTTCGGGGGCTCCCTTGCCAGTGATCCCAAAACTCTGGCCACAGTAGGAAGTTACCTAAAGGGGGGAAATGAGGTATATCCCTAGAGAATCATTTGGGGTGATTCGTTTGGGGCTGTGAAGAGTTGCTGCGTCTCTACGTTTGTGTGCCGCTGTCTTCTGGATGTCCCCACCTGTCCCACAATGAAGGAGGTGAAGGTTTGAGTATGAGAGCACAGGGTCCCTTCCTTTTCCTGCCTCTTTCCCCTGCCCAGCTCCGCATCCTTTTGGCTCAGAAGCTTTGGCAGAAGATGGACATCACACCCTGAGGTTCCCTGGCTTGCCCCTCCCTTCTGGGGTCACCAGTGGTGCTCCTTGCTTCTGAGGGGGTGCCTGGCAGAAAAGAGGGTCCACTCCATACTCAGTGCCCAGCTGCCCCCGGATGGACAGTTAGGCTCAGAGCCTTCTAGTCCTAACAGCAGTGGCCTGAGACATGGCGCCCCCTGCAGGCCAAAGCAGGCACAGCAGCATCTGTGAGACAATGACAGGTGGCCGGCTGTAGGGGCACCCAGTTTACCCAGGGAACAGCCTCTCCCAGTCAGAGAGACCATCACTTCCATTTCATGAAGCTGCCAGAATACAGTCGTTTCCTCTTTCACTTTCCATGGTTTAGCTTTCTGTGGTTTCAGTTACCTGCAGTCCAAAAATATTAAATGGAAAATTCCAGAAATAAACAATTTATAAGTTTTACGTTAGTAGCATGATGAAATCTAGTGCCGTCCCACTCCATTCCACTTGGGACATGAATCAATTGTTCAACCCACTAGTCTCTTAGTAGCTGTCTCGGTTATCAGACTGACTGTCCCAGTATCGCAGGGCTTGTGTTCAAGTCACCCTTATTTTACTTAATAACGGCCCCAAAACGCAAGAGGAGGCATGCTGGCAGTTCACGTATGCCAAAGAGAAGCTGTAACGTGCTTCCTTTAAGTGAAAAGTTGAGTGCAGCGCAATAAGATATTTTGAGAGATTAACTATATTCACATAACTTTTATTATGTGGTTTTAGTATATTGTTATTGTTTTATTTTATTATTGTTGTTAATCTCTCACTGTGTCTAATTTATAAGTGACACTTGATCATAAGTATGTATGTATAGGAAATAACATTGTATATACAGAGTTTGATGCTCTCTGTGGTTTCAGGCATCCATGGGGGGAAGGAGTCTTGGAACATATCCAGCATCCCAGATAAGGGGAGGGGCTACTGTATTTTTAAAATAAAAATAAAGAAACAGGGCTGTAGTGTGTTTTAAATGTTTGCTTGGAATAGAGTAATGCTTTTCACACCCACCCAGCAGTGTGACTGTGCCATTTGCAGGATAATAGAAATTTAAAAACAAAACAAAACAAACCATAGTGCATAGAAGTGGGACATCTGTTTAAAGTTGTTTGATAAGTATCATTTTTTTATGCCATCTGCGTTTTCCTGAATTGTATGTTAGCTTCATTTGGGAGAAGGTCAAGACTTTCAATCTGAGGAGCCCTTTGATGATGGTGGCACCCCGTGCTGGGCCTGGCCATGGGGTCTCCACACATGTCTCTTTCCCTAAGTGGTCCACAGTGGAGACTGGGTGCCTGGATGTGCCCAGTGGGATAGAGAGACTCCTGTGGTCAGGGTGGTAGGCTTGGTCCCTGTGTGGGTCGGTTAGCTGCAGCGTGCACGCTGACCCCTGCTGGTTATCATGGAAATGGGTGACATTGGCTGGAACAGCCTTTCTCAAACCATAGGCTGGGGGGCCCAACGGGTCAGGGGGGTCTACAATGTCAAAACTATTTTTATCATAATAACGAGACATTTGGTCCCATTTTCTCACATAGGTACATAAGATGAAAAGTTCATTGATACAGTTTCAGATACCACATTATAACTAATCTTTAAGAAACAACTAAATATTGAGTTTTGGGCAGTATGAAAGAAGAATAGCCACAATTATCTGAAAAGGCTATTAAAATGTTCCTCCCCTTTACAACCTTAGTATATATCTGTGAGACTCTGGATGTCCTTTGTGCACTTTAACAAAACCACATATCACAAAAAAATTGAATGAAAAATCAGATATGAACATCCAGCTGCCTTTTGTTAAGCCAAACATCACATCGATTTGTAAAAATGTAAAACAATGCTATTATTCTCACTAAGGTGTTTTGGTTTTTTTTAGATTTTTTTTTTAATTGGGGAATTGGGGGGATGGGAACAGTGCTGGGGAATTGGGGGAAGGGGAACAGACAAGTTGCTGTCCTTTTGTTCTTCAGTCTAGTTGTGGAGGACGTCGCTTCACTGGCCCATGTTGGTATTGTGATCATTGCGCTCTTCCCGGCTGAGGCAGTCGCTCACTGGCCATTGGACAGCCACTCATGCTGGCTGCCGGCCACTCACGCCAGCTTCCGGCTGCTCACGGTAGTTTACGGCTGCTCACAGTAGCTTACGGCAGCCCAGATCCAGGTCGAGCTGTTGTTCATCATCTTAGCTGTAGCAGGCGCAGCGTCATTGGCCCTCATGTGGAATCTGAACTGGCGGCCCTGCTGCTCACAGCTCGCGCTCCCAAGTTAACTCTTAACCAATGCACCAGTCGGCCGGCCCAAGAATTTTTATAACAGTTTAATGAGATATAGTTCTCATACCATAAAATTCACTTTTAAAGGGTACAATTCAGTGGTTTTGTGTTTTCACAAAATTGTGCAACCATCACCACTATCTAATTCCAGAACACTTCATCACCCCAAAAAGACACCCTGAACCCTTTAGCAGTCACTCCCCATTCCTCCCTTCCTCCCACCTCAGCTCCTGACAACTGCAAATCAACTTTCTGTCTCTTTGGATTTGCCTATTCTGGACATTTCCTGTAAACTGGACCTTACAGTATGTGGTTGTTTGTGACTGGCTTCTTTCACTTCCCATAATGTTTTCAAGGTTCATATACGTTATAGCATGTATCAGTGCTTCCATTGTTTTTATGGCCAAGTAATATTCCATTGTATGATATGCCACATTTTATCCATCCGTTGAATTGTTTCCACTTTTTGGCTATTATGAATAATGCTGTTACGAACATTCATATACGAGTTTTTGTGTGGGTGTATTTAGTTCTGTTGAGTATATACTTAGCAGTAGTTTCTGGGTCATGTGGTAACTCTGTTTAACATTTGAGGAACTGCTAGACTAATACCGAACCTCAGTAGTTTAATTTTAAGGGTGCAAAGGAGTCCTATGTTTGAGAGCCACAGACAGCCTAGATGGGATTAGACCAGGGGAATATGGATAACTCAGTACAGTTCCTTGTCTTTGCTCCTGGTGTTGAGAATCCCTCAAACTCATCTCTCTCTTACCCCTACCCTACCTGCCTACCCCCCTCAAGTCTTTGGTGGCAAGGAGAAAGCCAACTAAGCCACACTGTACAAGTTAAACCACCAGGAAGTGCTGGAGCAGGGTCACCTCCCTACAGGATTTCCGAGGGTGCCATTTTTATTGCATTCCTGGTGGACAGTGTCCCCTGCATTGTGCAGGGTGGGGGTCCTGGTGCAGCTCTTGCTCCCTGCCCTCTTTCCTGCTCTGGAGAGCACTGTGATCGTTGGCAGAACCCCTTGGGGAGCAGAGTCTGTGAAGACCTTGTTTGCGGAGCTGAGGAAGGTGGCTGGCTTCAGCCACCCCCATGTGCCTGGGGCTGCTGCTGCTGGTCCCCCACGGCTGGGAGTGGTGTAGGGTCTGCCCAGGCTGTCTAACCATCCCTACCCCACCCCCACCCCCGGGCCCCTCCTGCTAGGCAATGTGCCAAGCACAACAGGGGCTGTACTTGGAAGTAGATCAAATGCCCTCCAGGGCTTGCCAGCCAAGTTGAAAATTACTGTGGTTGCCTCTTCTTTCTGGTTCTAACCCTTTAATGTCCTGCCAGTCATGTCCAATCTTGTCACTTAGCCACATGATCCACCTAGCTGCCCTTTCCAGTATTATGAGCCTTTTGAAAGAGGAGCTTGGAGGTAACAGTCTTTAGCCGGAAGAGTGATTCTGATGGTGAGATTCCAGGCGTCAGCAGGGATATCCAATGGGGATAGGTTGGAAGTGCCAAGTGTTTGGAGCCTAAGGGGCCCTGCCTGCCATCTGCACCCCAGCCAATGACGTGTTCTTTCTTTTTCCTCTTCTCACCTCAGATGTGACTCCCCACTCTGGCTGGGTGCTCCAAGCATGGCCGACACCATCTTTGGCAGCGGGAGTGATCAGTGGGTTTGCCCCAATGATCGGCAGCTTGCCCTGCGAGCCAAGTGAGTACCTCCAAGGCCCAGCCAGGTCTACCCCTCCCTCCCTTCCCTGCCTCCCTCATTTCAGTCACAAGATTCAGTCCCAAGGACCCAGAGAGAGAAGCTGGGAGACAAGTGCCTGTCTAATAAACACCATCCTCCATGCACTGGGCTGGGCACTGAACAGCCATTCACGTATTTAACCATCGCAAGGAATTTATCTTCATTTCTCAGTGAGGAAAGGGAGGTTCCTTGCCCAAGTCACTTACTTGTAATTGTCAGGGCCGGTACCACACCCAGATCTGTTCTTTCTATCACAGCAGGCGGCAGGGAGCCAGACTACTTCATGTGCCTCCTCTGTTAAGAGCATAAACCTCCCCTGTCATTGAGCCTTCAGTCCCTGAGCCCCTGGAGGCTGGGAGCCTTTGATCCCTGGAGGCCCACTTCATAGCTGAGTGCCTGGCACTGACAGACAGGACAGACTGAAGGCTGAAGGCTCGTCAGATGCATGAAGGGCTGCCCCCTGGCTTAAATAGACAGCCAGCCTTGATGCTTCCTAGGGTTCCTTCACGCTCCTGTCAGGGTCTCTCTGGTTTTGGCTTCTCCCCTTGGGGTCCTGGTTTTCTTGTTATCCCTCAGCCTGGTGACCCCTCAGCTTCAGTTTGGTCAGGCCGTCTCCACCCACCGTCCCCCTGTGGCTGGAAACCAGGGGCTCCCAGATGCCTCTCCTGCCTTCCTGTCTCCCTATCTGTCCAGGAAGTTGGGGATCCCTGGAGTCAGATAAGCCCAAGAGTCCCCTTCATCCATCAGACAGTGCCAATTACGGGAGCCAGCATTTTCCAAATGGGAGTGAGTTCAAAAAATTTGCAATTAGATGTTATGAGCCTGCAGGGACACAGAGCTGAAACATCAAAGGAGGAGGGAAAAATTAATCCAATATGACCAAGCAGAGTGGAGTCCTGCGTGATTTGCAGGAATCTTTGTCCAACAATTACTTTGTCCCTGTCACTGGGATGGCTCAGTCCTGGCAAGGGGAGAGACCCGGGAGGAAACCAGCCCCTCTCCCTCACTCCTCTGATTGGCAGGAGAGAAGATATGTCCTCCTTGGCTGGGTACAAGGAGCGAGGGAGAGCTGTGCTCTTACAGGAGGGCCTGGCGTGACCCCTGGCTACCCCTCTAGTGTTCCCTTCAGTTCTCCCTGACCTTGTCTTGTGCACAGCAGCAGCCAAAAGCTGTTGTAGCGCCTTTGAGAAGAGCAAATGCTTTTATCTCCTCCCCGGGGTGTGCTGCCTTGTAATGCCAGGCTCCTTGTAATGTAATGCCAGCCTCCTTGTAATGCCAGGCTTTGTAAAGGAGAGTACTACAGATCCCCATACCCAGACACTGCATGGAGAGTTCCTCTGGGAAGCCTGGGGAAATTACCTTCTCTGGCTCTAGCTCAGGTCCATCCTCCAGCCACCATCAAACATTTTCCAAACCCGTACTGTGTGCCAGGCACTGGTTGCACAGCAGCAAATGAGACCAACGTGGTCTCTCGTCTTAAGGCACTGATGGAGAGGAGTGAGTTCTATACACATAATTACCCATGTGCTTTGACAGTGGAAACAGGCTGTGGGGGTGAAGGGGGATCTAACTTAATCTGGGGATTAGGAGAGGCTTAGCTGAGAGTGTGATGCTTACCTTGGGTTCTGGAGGAGGGGTGAATGTTAGATGGAAATATGGGGGAGGAGCTTCTAGGCAGAAGGAACCGTATGTGCAAAGGCCCTGGGGCAAAAGGACCATGGCATGTAGAGAACCTGTCAGGAGGCCAGTGTTGACTTGAATGCAGAGAGTGAGCGAGTTGTTGAATGGAGTGAAAGGAAGATGGAGAGGTGGGCAGGGGTGAGATGGGGCAGGGCCTGGTCCTCCAGAGACTCGCATTCTGAAGAGGAGACAGAGGGTCCCAACTTGCCTCAAAATAATGTTCAAGCATAATGTTTAAGCCCAGTGATGGAGCTATGCCCAGGTCTTATGAAAACTCTCAAGATGGACTGTTAACCCATCTTGGAGAGGATGAGGAAAAGCCTCCTGGTGGATCATGGCTCAAGTCTTTAAAAGAATAGGAATGAGCCAGTGGAAAGAGGGTTTAGGGAGAGGGACAGGTTCCCCAGGTGGAGGGAACAGCATAGCAAAGGTGTGAAGACCTCACGCAGCCCAGCGCTCAGGGAACTCGGAGCAGTTGTTGGTAACTCATACCGTGTGAGGCCAGGGGAACTGAGAGACGGGCACCATACAGGGGCTGGACAGAGGGGTGCTGGGCACCACTGAAGGTTCTCCCTTGGGGATTGCAGCCCGTCTATATCTAGCAGCTTGAGCCGGCCCCCTTTGGCTGTGTGGAGGGGCGTTGCACCCTGCAGGGAACAAGATGCTTGGTGGCAGCCGTGGCCTGAAGTGGGAGTCAGGGCCTGACTAGACAAGGAGGAGATCAAATGATGGAAAGTAAATTGGTGGCTTGGTGGGTGATCAGATGGAGGCAGGAAATGAGGCTCAGAGAATGGCCTGGGGGTGCCTGACAGGGCTGTCACCAGTGCTAGATGGTAGCTCCCTGGCTGGGAGGCCTGCTGACTCCTGCCTTGCCTTTAGAAAGCCATCTAACTGCGCTGTGCCTCTTTGCTCTCCTGAGAAATGAAGAGGCCTGCCTTGCAGGACGACAGGAGGTCCAGTGTGTATTGCGGGGGGCGGGAGAGGGGTGGGTAATGGGTCTGTGGAAGCCTTGGCTGAGGGCGGGCCCAGAGTGAGTTGGCTAGAAGCTGTGTTCACTGGTGCTGTGCCCTTCCTTCTTTGAGTGACTAGGTGAATCCCCCTTATTTCTATACCCCCCTAAGGCCCACCTGCGTGTTCCACCCGGCAGCATATCTCTAGCACCTAATGAGCCTGGCATCACAGTGACTGTTCAATAAATATGCATCGAATGAATAGCTCTTATAATTTTCCATTAAATAAATATTTGTGTAACTGATTGGGCACCAATCACCCCCCACATACTGTAATTCTTCAAAGCAGCAACTTTGCCGTCTTATCCACCTGTGTTCCCAGTACCTGGCACAGAGTGTCTCGGAGAAGCAGAGACTCAGGGCAGGGAGCTTGGGGTTTGGTCTGCTGCCGCCACTCCTTCCTCATCCAGGAGAGTAGAAAGGGTTTGAGTTCTTCCCCTCAGCCCCTGGGATCAGCCTCAGGAGGTGTCACTCCTAAAGCCCCGTGGAGTGGAGACGGCTGAGTGCCCTGGGCCGGGCCTCAGCCCCATCTCGCCATCTTGCCTATCCTTGCTACCTCCCCTCTCATGCAGTTTGGTTACCCTCCTGTCCTTGAACCCTCTAGTTTTCAAAATGCTGTGTATCTCCTTTTATCCTCAAGTTTCATTTTTAACCTAATTAGAGTTCTTTCCTAGTCCGTAATAAACTCCATCTCACTTGCTTATATAACTCAGATCTAGGCTTTCATTCTCCTCTTGATAATCTCCTGCGCACCCCCCCCCCTCAAAACCTCACGCGCCATGGCGGTGGCCTTCTCCATTTGTGGAGCGGGCGCCTCCCATGCTCCTGCCCGGAAGGTGCTAAGGTGGTGCTGCTGTGTCCGTGGGGCCCAGTAGCTGGAGGGTAGCAGAGCCAGCACTTGGCGCCTCATGTCTGCCCTGTTCCCTGAACTCCTCGCCCCCAACACGCAGCAGCTGGGCCCTCCTCAGACTGTTCTCAGGGGGGGCTTTGTGGATGTGGCAGGAGTGCTGGGGTTTGCATTGGGGTGGCCTCAAGGCCTCTGTGTTGTTCTCTCTCGAGGCTGCACACGGGCTGGTCTGTGCACACCTACCAGACAGAGAAGCAGAGGAAGAGCCAGTGCCTCAGCACAGGTGAGGTGGAGGCCATCCTGCAGGTCATCCAGAGGGCTGAGCAGCTCGATGTCATGGAGCAGCAGAGGATCGGGTAAGGGCTGCTCCGAGCTGGGGCAGGGGCGGATCGGTGAGAGGAGAGCAAGGGCACCGAGTGCCAGACGAGTGGGCTGGGAGACGAGCCCTGGGCCCTAAGGCTGGCTCTTCACCACGGGGAGCGAGTCGGCTCTGCCTGAACACTCCTGGAGTGCGGACCCATAACCCAGGCGGCAAAGCCTCAATACACCCCTCTGTAAGAAGGGGACAGCAGCTGAAGTGTGGGCCCCAGGCTGTGGGAGGATGAATGAATGGGGCAAAACACGTTAGGATCGTTCAGCTCTTCACTCTTAAGGGTCAGCTGTGGTCCAGCAGGGAGGGATTTAAGTCGAGGCCAAACCTGGGTCGTCCCATCAAAGACTCCAGTAGGAGACACTCTCCACATTGTTCTAAGTTCGTCTCCTGGTCTCCAGCGTCCAGAGCTGACCACTGTACGGTTCTCAGGCAGCTTTGTTGTATCTTTTTGTTTGTTTGTTTAATTACAAAAGCAATTTACACGTCCTCTAAAATTGGGAAAACACACAAAAGCACAAGTGGGAAAACACAAATGCAGTGTGTTGCTTTGGGCAGGAGTTAATTCGATTCTGATCTCCTTGTTCTTCTATTTATCTTTTTCTAGTAAATATATGATCATTTAAAAAAGTCAGACACTGTAGGAAGGCACAGCCCTAGAAAGTGAAAGTACCACTTCAAAGACCAATGCTATCCAAACATTTAATGTATATGCCTCAATGATACTGACCTGTTATTATCATTGTATTACAAAAAGGGTTAGACCACACAGACCAGTTGCCTATTTTTTGCTTTTTTCCCCACCTAACCGGGCTCTGGCCCTGTGCTGCCCAGGACCCTGCAAGGCTCTCTGCAGACCTCGCGCTGATGATTGACATGCCAGCATTGCATCCCTCGGACTCCCCCAGAAGAGGGTGCGGGGAGTGGTGGTGGTGTCTCATGTGGGCTCCCCATGCAGTGGGAACCCATCCGGGCTGCTGTCTTGGACTTTCCTGTGCCGCTCACATCGTCGGGCCCCCTCTGCGAGCACTGGGTTTGGCAGGGTGCAGAGTGACCCAAAAGGCAGTGCCTCAGGTTCATCATCTCAGAAGGAGGAGGTGCATCTTGTGTGTTTCGAGAGTTAGGAGGCACCGGGATGCACTGACAGGTGTCCCTGAGAACAAGTGCATCAGGCCAGGACTGAAGCTGGGTTTGCTCCCGAGTCCCTGCGGGTCCCTGGGTAAGGGTCGATGACCCCCGTGGAAGTCAGGAGTGCTTGCTTGAGGGCATGTGGGTAGAGGCAGCCTCAATGCCCAGTCTGCTCTCCCTCAGCCCCTAGCAAAGGCCTGATCACCTCAGGGGAGAGTGTGGGGTTGTCATGAGAGGGGGCCTGGGGATGGACCTGCGCTCCACCTCTTAGGAGTTGGTGTGACCCTGGCAAGTGACTTCATATCTTCTGAGCCTCAACCTTCCCATCTTTAAAATGGGGGGGGGGGAGGTAGCATCCTCCTCACTGGGGGCTTGTGACAATTAGAGGAGATCATGTATCTGCACTCTGCCCTTCATTCATTCAAGCATTTTCACTGCATGTCCATTGGGCACTGGTGATACAGCGGCCAGAAGTGGCTGCCAGTTTTGTGGAGATGGTAGCATTCCCTTACAAGTTGTCATGAAACAGGTCACAGTGGGGTGAGGGACCGTGGGACCCCCGAGGAGACGCACCTACGCCAGGCTTAGTGGGGTTCAGGGCAGGCTCCCGGGCACTCAGCATCAGAGGTTCAAAGAGGGGCTCTTTTTCTTTCTTTCTCCAGCTTCTTCATCTGTCCAGTTGCTCAAATGAAGAAGTTGCTACATCATCCTGGATCCTTTTTCCCTCCCCTCACCCCATGTCCATCCATGCTGCCTCTGAAATACAGCCTGTCCTAGCCTCCATCTCCCTGTCCTGGACCTCCCACCACCTCCTGCTGGCTTCCTCACCTCCACTCCTCTTGTAATCCTGAGTGAGCTTTTAAAAATGTCACTCAGATCGAATCACCCCTCTCCTTACAACTCCTCAGCAGCTTCACAGGGATCTTAGAGAATAATCCAAACTACATTTTGTGACCGATTAAACCCGTGTTATCTGGGCCCTCTTTACCCCTCCAGCCTCCTTTTCTCCCAGGCTCCCGCTCGCTTACAAGGCAGCAGCCACAATGGCCTTTTTACCATTCTAATGTGTCAGGCCCGTTCTCACCCCCGACCTTAGTTAGCACTTCCTGTTCCCCCTGCTTGGAAAGCTTCCTCCCCTAAGCTCTTCACATGGTTTGGTCCTTGTCACCCTTTAGCTTTCAGCTCAGATGTTCTCAGACAGACCTTCACTGATGACCATCTAACACGCCCCCTGTCCCTGCCCACTTATTTTATTTCATAAGCACTTCCCCCTCTAAAGTCAGTTTGCTTATTTACTTATTTTTCTGGACTTTCTCCCTTTTACTGAACATGAGTTCCATGAGAGCAGGGACCATGTCTGTCTCTGGCTTGTTTGCTATAATAATCCCGGGGCCTGGCACATCATAGGTGCTCAATTAATACTGGTGAGTACATGAATGATTAGGAGTTAGCCTAATCATTAGGAAAAGAGGTGAGGCAGGGAACAGTACCCTAGGTAAGGAAACAGCACATGGGCCTTGGTGTAGTGTTGGGGCCTCGTGGCAGCCGTGTGTGGGCAGTGGTCGGGGTGGAAGCACGAAGCACATCCCATCTGACTTCTGTGTCCTGTGCTACAGGCGGCTGGTGGAGCGGGTGGAGACCATGAGACGCAACGTGATGGGGAACGGCCTCTCCCAGTGTCTGCTCTGTGGGGAGGTGCTGGGCTTCCTGGGCAGCTCATCGGTGTTCTGCAAAGACTGCAGGAAGGTAAGGCCCTGCTCTGGCCCAGTCACTCTGGCTACCCAGCCTGGACGAGCTCTCCTGCTGCTCTGTGGCTTTGAATCCTGGCCACCAGGAATGTGTGTGTGTGTGTGTGTGTGTGTGTGTGTGTGTGTGTGTGCATACATGTGTAAGCACATGGTACCCTATGCTTCTTGGCAAGAAGGATTGGAGGCTAAAGGTCAAATGGCCTGTCTTCTAAGGCCAGCCCTGGGGAGTGGGCCTCTGGGTCTCATGGGCCCAGTTAGGAATACAGCTCTTCCACTAACCATCTGACCTCAGGAAACTTGCTTAATATCGCATGACTCACCATCCTCATCTGTAAAATAGGGATAATGATAATATGTACCTTCAAGAGTTGTGAGGATTAAATATTATGTGCAAAGCTCTAAAAACCTTGTCTGGCATGTTAAGTGCTCAATAAATGTTATTAATTGTTATTAAGTAAAATACAGTCCTCCTCAGGGCCAAATAGTATGCTAGGATTGCACTTCCTGTTCCGTTGGTCTGTTCTCTTGATTCTTGCCCTCTCAAATGAGAATGATCTTTTCAGGGAGGTCAAATGGATTTTCCCCTGTTCTTATTAGACTCCACTGATGGTTCTAAAGTGTGCCACATATTAAATTGTTTCATATTGAGTCTAATACGTTTTATAATAACTTCTTTGTTTTTCCTGGAGTTTCTAATTGCCTTTCTTTTTCTTATTGACCAAAGAATAATGTGCTTTCTGATCCTCAAGATTATTTAGCATCTCAGTTTTATTCTCTACTGCATGGAGCCTATGTTTTTTTCCTGCCAGGAAGGAACCCTTCTAGATTCTTATTCCTGCTCAAGCTTAGACTGGTTGCGGCACAGCGATAATCATGGGACTGCCCTCCTGGGTTAGAAACACTGTTCCCAAAAAAATAAACCAAAGAAGAATCAAAAAGAAAAAAAAACAAAACACTGTTCCCAAGATACCATGTCTTCCACTTTTTTAGTTTTTCACTCTAATCTTACTGGAATCAATCCTCATGTAACTACCTTGTGCCAGTCACTTTTTTAAGCCTGGAGTTATTTTGGTGAACAAGACAGAGAAAGAACCTTCTCTCTTGAGATTACCTTGGGTGGAGGAACCAAAAAAATTTGATCAAAAATGCCCAAATAAATAAGAAGATTTCAGTAAGTAATAAATTCTGGGAAGAAGTAACAGGGGATATAAGACTAGAGATGGGGTGATAAGAGTTGAAAGGGCTGTAAAATACAAAGTCAAAACAGAAATATGGACTTGGCAACATGGAAGCCCTTGGGAACCTCGTCAAGGGCACCGTCAGTGGCATTCAAAAGCTGGATGATAAAGGTGCACAGAGGTTAATATGTGCAACTGATAAGCAGAAAAGCCAGGATTTCAGCTAAGATCTTTATTTTATTTCTTTCCTGCTGTGTGACATGTGGTAAACTGGGCTGAGGAATGTAGATTAACTGGTAAAGGGTCCCAAAAACAGTGGAGATATGGCAGGAGCCTGGGTGTCAGGGAGGGGATGGGTATTCGTGTGCTAGCTCCTCCTTAAGCCCTCCATAGGTCCTGGACTAGAAACCAACAAAAGCAGTGGGCACAGGGACCCGGCACATCTTGCTCCCAGCACCTGGGCAGGTGGGGTTATATTTTGTGATTTCTGCCTGGGAGAATAGGGCACAGCATCCTAGTTCCTTTTTCTGCCGCTCAACCCCACAACTGCTGTAAATGTTCAGGTTTGCAGGACCGTGACAATGGGACAGAGCCGTATCTCCTAACCCCTGGAAAAGTCTGGGGCCTCTGCCACAGAGGCAGGCTGCTGCCCCTGCTGCTGAAAGGTTAATGCCAGCTGCTCCCGGGAGCCATTTCCTCGGCCACAGTGGCAGTCCCAGGGGAAGACCTCAGCTGAATGTGGGGGTGGAAGAAAATGCTTTTCCAGACAGTCTTGCCACCCCCACCCCACGGTACCCTGGAGCACTGGGCTAGACCAGAGGACGGTTCCATTTGAAATTGTTCTTATTTTGCAGGAGGCTGAGGACTTGGTCCTGGCTTGGGTGGCAAGGCGAGGAGCCCTTGAGCCCCTGAGGGGAATTGTTCCTGAATGAAAGTGGGAGGAATGTATGTCAGGGCCACAGCTGAATGATGGGCATTTGGGGTTTTCTTCACCTGTCCTTGAGAAGATTGTGTCGTACGTTCATTCACTTGTTCATTCATTCATTCATTCATTCATTCATTCTGCAAATATAGAGGGCCCACTGTGTGCAGGCCCTGGTCTAGGTGCTGGTGATACTATGAACAAGACAGATGAAATCCTTGCTGTCATAAAGATTATTTTCCAGGGGTGGGAGAAGAGAGACACAAACAAATAAACAAACATAAAATAGTGTCTAGTAGTCTGGGGACTCTGAAGTGAATTAAAACAGGGCAATGCGATAGAGTATGACTGGAAGGGCCCCTCTGAGCTCAGACCTGAACACAAGCAAGAGCCAGCCCCTCGGAAGATGGGTGCACAAGTGTTGCAGGCAGAGGGAACATCAAGCACAAAGGCCCTGAGGCAGAAACCATGAAGGCATCTGGGGCAGGGGGAGTGAGAGGTGGGCACAGCTGATCACGCAGAGACGCGTAAGTCAAGGTCAGGAGTTGAGACTTGATTCTAAGTTTAATGGGATACCAGTGGAGCATTTTAAGCAGGAGTGTGATGTGATCTGGTTTATTTTTAAGAGATGAGCCTAGCTGCTGTCTAGCGAGTGGATTGCAGGGGGCATCGAGTGAAAGTTGGAGACGAGTTAGGTGGCGACAGCTGTCTTTGGGAGGTGATAGAGTTAGGGACATATGCTAAGAAAATCAGTCTCTTCAGTGTATTCTAAGCAGATGGAGGAGGGTTAGAGAGCATGATTGAGGGCCCTAGGAAGGAGAGAGGATCCTAGAATGTAATTGGGCCAGGGCAAGAGGTCACTTGGTCCACCCTGCATGGTGAGTGGGTGGTAGTCCTCCTGGGTTTGCCAGTAAGGGCTGTTCCCATGCAGACGGAGTTGGATTGTGGTCCCAGCTTGGCCACAGTGCCACCTTGTACAAGTCACTTAACCTGTCTGAGCCTCTGTTTCTTCATCTGTAAACGGGGTAATCAAGCTTATGTCATCGTAAGCTTGGTGTGAGGAATAAATGAGCTAATAGTGCAGGGAAGCCCTTAGCAGAATGTCGGGTCTGTTTTGAACACTCAGGGAAGGATACCTGCTGTTGTGACTGTTGTTATTATTAATCCTCTTCAAGGTCCTAGCTTTTCAGACTGTCCACATGTTATAAAGGATGGAACTGACCTCCCATATATCTCAGAAAAGGTTTGGTGGAATCCCCACAGGCATTGATTTCACATATAGTTCTGGAGGCTGGGAAGTCCAAGGCCAAGGCCAATTCAGCTCCTGGTGAGGGCCTTCTTCATGGCTTGCAGATGCCACCTTCTCGCTGTGTCCTCACATGGTGAAGAGAAAACCCTGGCCTCTCTTCCACGTCTAATAAGGACACCAGTCCTATCGGATCAGGGATTATGACCTTGTTTCACCTTAATTATCTACTAAAAACTCTGTCTCAAATATGTAGTCACATTGGGGGTTAGGGCTTCAATGTAAGAGTTGTGAGGGGCTGCAATGTGGCCCATAGCACCACGCCTTCTCCTTATTAAAATTCATGCTTTCTTGAACTTAAACTTGGAGTTCCCACAGTTCCATATTTTTCGTAGTTTATGTAAAAGCCTCTGGCAGCCTTTTTAGCTCTCCAACATTGGATGTCTTGAGCCAACATGGAAACCAAGCTGCTCACAGGATTCTGTACAAGTTCCTCATGTGAAACTAACCATCCCTTTTTCAGCCCGTGGTGAACGCATTCTGCTTTAGGGGCACCCAAAAGGAGAAGTGTCCAAAACAGTCACTGAAAAGCTCAGGTCCTGATGATCAAAGTGGGAAGACAGTATTCTCTAGAGTGATGCTGACTGTGGCTGAGACCAGGGTTTCGAGGACTGAGAGCAGACAGGAGGGCTGCCTGGAAGTTGGCTCCGGAAGGCTTCTCAGAGGCCGATAGCAGAGCTAAGGGCCTCCCAGGCAGGGGAGGAGAGTGCAGCAGAAGCACATAGCTGGAAATGGGCTGAGCAAGCACCTGACTGTGAAGACACAGGCCCTAAGGGCTGGGAGAAATGTGTTGAAAGAAGAAAGAACGTAGGCGATGACATCAGATTTGACTTAGGAGCAGGGGACCTTGGAGGAGGGTCAAGGGGCAAGAGCAAGGAAACCTGAAGACATGGGACAGAGCTGAGATCTTGGTGTAGGAGATGGGGCTCGTTGGAAGGAAGAGTTTTCTGAGGGCCAAGCTGCATTTGATCAGAGTGGGCAGGTCCTTAGAGCCCTGGGCCCCCCAGGAGATAATCACAGATGATTGCACAGACACCCTGGGGCCACTCTGTCAGGTGCTGGTCACTTTGGAGCCGAGTCCCTGGAGAATCACGAGGCCGACTCAGCCTCAGATCCTCCTGCAAAGCTTTGGCTCCTGCAGGGGCTCTCTGGTGTTTGGGAGGGGAGGCCATTGTCATCCATTCACTCGGCCAGCAAATATTTATTGTACGCCTACTGGTACAGGCACAGAGGGATATAGTGTAAAGACACACAGATCCCTGCTGCTCAGGAGGGAGGTGTTAAAGGACCGTGGATAATGAATTACAGTTGTGGTTGGGGTTATGGAGGCAGCCCTGGGAGTCTGAGAGAGCTCTAACAGGGTACTGGCCTAACTAGGGGCATCAGGAGTTCTCCTCTGATTTGTGGGGGCGCCTCACTGTTTATTTCTATCTCCACTTTCCACCTCGTCTCCTTTTTCAATGGGTGCCAAGAGGCGTGTGGGCCTGGGCAGGCTGCCGAGAAAGGATGCTGAGGAGATCTCTGGCATGGGAAGTGTCCAGATCTAGGGCTGGGATGCAGGTCCTCAGGTGCTCCCGGCCCCATGGAGCCAT